CCTGGGACATTTAATCACTGTAATCATGACACCCTGTGAAAGGTGCATCAGATGCCACAGTCCAGGGAACCTTGGCAGGCATTTCCCAGAGGAAAGCCCTTTGATAGTCTACAATGTTAACAATTCATAGCAGTTTTATGTATTCTCTCTCAAAACTCTGCTACTCAAGGTAGTCAGTTTAACCCTTTCATCTCCAAATTAGAAATGAGGGTTCCTTGGTGGTCAGCAAATACTCTGTCCCTCTAACCTGCTCTCTCTAAGCTATACTTAAGTATCACCAGGACTAGGCAAGTTGCTTGGCCTTTTATTAGTAAAGCAGCTGAATAATTTATAAGGGTTGCATAGGGCCCATTAGAAGTGCCAGAGCAATAATAACTGGCTTAGGACTTTGCTTACTCAGGGCTAAAGTTTAATTTGACCATAAATGCCCCAGCTCATAAACCCATCCCACAGGTCTGACCTGCCCTCTCCTCGGCAATCACATGTCCTAGCCATGCTCTCATCTTAGATGTGTTCCTATTGGTGTCATCTTTGGGGCAAAAAACGCCCCCAAATTCTACTCCAAAACAAAAACTAACATCTCATACCCACATCACTACATTTCCTAAAGAGGGCCACTACCACTGCCCTCTTCTTCAGCTTTGCTTTTGGTCATTCCAAAAGAAAGGCAGCACCTGGTTGATTCCTAGCCAACAGGACAGCACAGGTAGATGCAATGAAAGGAGCGAAGATGAGAAATAGAAGAGGTAAGACCTTGGGAACACTATGTTCAGTGGCAATTAGGGCATCACATTCTAAATGACAGCACATATGATAAGATCGAGAAAATGTTCATTGCTTATTTAGCAAATTAATTAACTTTTCTAAGCCTGTTTTCTCATTTGTGAAATGTGGACTGCAATGGTATCCACCTAATAGGGCTGTGGTAAGGATTAAATGAGTTAATCCACAGCATATAATAAATACCCATTAAGTAAAAGCTATCATTATTAGAGATTCAGACCTGGAATGAATCCCAGAGAAATCTAATCCAACCCCCTCAATCAGTGAAAAAACTCAAGGCCCAGAGAGGCTATGTGACTTGTTCAAGGCTAAGTGACATTGGGGACAGTTCTCAGCCTTAATCCAGACAAACACCCGGTTTGGGGCTCTGTTTGCCATTTCAGGGCTGCTGTGGCTCTAGCACTCATTCTCTATGAAAACAGTGTTGTTATTTTGTTTTCTGAATTTTAACATAAGCTAAGTTGTAGCCCAGAAACTTCAGTGTTCATTCATTCATCCAAGATCTATCTACCGAGTGCTGACTCTGGGTCAGGCACTATTTTACACATGGTTATAGGGGTTCAGCAGCTGCAAAATAGACAAGGTCCCTCCACTCAAGCATCTCATATTTGGTGATGCAAAGAGTCAGTGAAAAAGCAAATGAACAAACTAGATAATTTCAGATAGTGGCAAGAGCTATCAAGAAAATAAAAAGGTGACAGGAGAGAGCAATGGTCAAGGTTGGGAGGGTGGAAGTCTCTTAATAGAGGACATTCATGTCGGTTTCTTTGCAGCTTAATCTCTAGTAAAATGGTCTTCTAACACTGGTTTTAGCATATGCATATATGAACATGCATGACTATATGTAATAAGAAGAAATTATACAACGTGGTATCACCCTCTGAAAATTTCACTCTTGAGCAATCATATCCGAAATAAACACACTAACCATTAAGGATTTTATCAGGATGGACCTTTTCTGGTCTTTGGTCTTACCTCCTGGCTATTCTGGTGCAAATGGGGGGGTTAAGGCAAAAGGACACCAGAGGAATCAAAGCCGCGGGGGTGGGGCGGGGTGGGTGGGTGGCTGGGTCACGTCACTCTTTCAGGTGAAGTTCATTTCCCTACCCTCTGGAGGCTGGATTCTTAGCCCTTGGCATCCGTGCTATGTGCCCCGAAATTCCTGCCCCAAGAACCAGTTCAGAGGATCAAAGAGCTATTATTAATGTCTCAGTTTAGGCCAACTGAGGGAGGGAATGGAGGTAGAGGCAGGCCACTCACCCCTCCATTCAGCCACCCTCCTCCACAACGGGGCCATTGAGCAGGCGCCACAATAGAGGGCTGAGAAAAAAAGGCCGAAAGAAAGTATACAGAGTCCCCTCGCACAGACTCGGTCATTCATCACCAGGCAAGTGCCAATATCTGGGAACAGCAATCTCAATTTCTGCAAATCCTCCAACCTGCAACAGCTGCTAGTGACTCTGGTGGGCGGCTTTGCTGCTTACTCGAGTTTCCAATATGAAGCCCTGGCCCAGAGCCAAGTCGACATTGCTTAGGTTAGAGACACGCTGGCTACAGAGAGCAGCAACAATGGACTTCACAGCTTATAAAGCAGCTTACAAAGGACTCCCGTGCATTTCAAAAAGCACTTCAGATAGCTAGTGAGAGAAGCTATCTTGCACAAACGCATTCAAGCAGATTATTCCTAACCCACTTAATTCAAGGTTTCTGTCAGAAGCCAACGATATAGCGGAGGAAGGTGCAGAGAACCTCGAGAGGGCCGGATGGTTCAGCAGCTGGGAGAACGCAGTCAACCCCAGCCCCCTCCTCGGAGCACAAGCTCAGCAGGATGGGGAGTGACTGTTAGCAATCAGCCTTCACCTGGATAACAAACATAAGAAAAAAATGAAAAGATGGTCTGTGGGATTCCTCGGTTCTTTAGTGAGCTGTTTGTCTCAAATGCTTCCATCAGCATCATTAAGTAGCCTTTACAAATGTTACTGAACAAATACTGAATGCCATCTAGGTGCCTGCCACCATACAACCCAAATGCACCTTCATCTGATGGCACAGGTGATGCCACCTGTATCTCCTGCTCTGACTCACCACTCTGAAGTCTCATCTCCTCCATGCTATCTACGCTTGCCTTGGTTTAGGCACAGCTTAGTTTACAGAGAACAATTTTGCCAGATTACAGGCACCGAGGAAAAAAGAAGCTAAAGACTATAAGAAAACACTGAGGCTCAAAGGCCTGCGTTTGGAGCCTGGAGCTCATGGAAGCCACAAAAGGACATGGCAAACACAGAGTGCACCAAACACAGACCAGACCATGGCCATGGAAGAAAAGAAAGACAGAGGTAGGTAACAGTTCTTTATCAGTTTTATCTTACGCATCAATTTTTCAAAATAACTTCATGAGTGCTTTTGTTTATGGAAAAGGAACCAATGTAAACACATGAGATGGAACTATCCCTGAATTCCCGGATGTTTAAATGGAAGGACCCCTCACAGGACTATAGACCCTATTTGGAGATCTGACTCCAATGTCTGTAGCACTTGGTGTAGGTTTCTTGGACAACTCTTAAATCAGCAGATTTCAGGGTAAGAGATTATTATAAGGCTAATTAACAGAAGCAAAGGAAATATACAGAGTTGTATCAAATGTGAAGCAGGATTTGGAATTGCTTAAGTGATACTATGTTGAAGAGAAAAAAGCTACCACCACCCCCCGCCCAGCACTCATTCTAATGGGTAAGACCTATTCGCTAAGGGAATAAGGAGTGAGTGTGATATGGCAGTGTTTACTGTGAGGCCAGTCTCATAGCATGAAATGGGTCAACATGAGAGTAGGCTTAGAATGCTATTACCGTGTAATTTATTAGTGTATGAAATGCCACATGTGGCAATGACACACTTTAATGGGATCTGGTTCTAAACTAACATATCATCTGTACTTGGATCATGCACTTCAAACGCAACTCTTCATGTCTTGGTTATTCCAGCAGCTAAATAGCAGAACAGGGACTACATGGGAGAAGACCTTTAGTGAGAAGGGAGGAAAATAAAAACTATTTCTATCAATTGCAGAATTTCTGCACAGAATGCACATCTACTATTTCCAATGTGACTTCTCTGGATTTTTCATGATACATTTTACAAGCTGGAATTCACCAGGAGGAAGGGTCCCTGTGCCAGACCTCAGAGAATCAAAATTTGAGATCACAGAGAGACAGCACAATGGCATGAATGCAGACCTATCCACCAGAGCTCTGCTTTCTGCCCCAATATGCTGCCAGAAACCACCCAAAGACTAGCGTAAACAGAGCACGCCTAAGCCTAGGAAGGCTCCATTCCCATGGCCATGATCCATGACTGGGCATTTCTGATTTGGTTCTTGTGATCCAGATGCTGAAGTTACCACTTGCCAAGAGCAATAGTTCCCCCAAGAGGCCTTAACTACTGGCAACTCTCACTTAAGAAGCCCATCTCTAACATGGTATCTCACACTCTAATATTTAAGTATGTGCTGTACTGTAGTGCAATCTAAATGATTCTTGTTAAAAATAAGCTCCTTGAAGGCATACCCATTTCCCTCTTCCCCATGCAGCACCAAGGAATAACAAGTGTTAATAAATAACCACTGACTAATCAATTATAAAAAAGAAGGACAATGGAGCACAAACATAAGCAAGAACAAGTAGCTGTTATCATGTCTCCCCACCACCAAACTGTGGAGGAGAAAATTCCTCCTCTTTAATCAAAGCAGACTGCTGACCAGAAGCACAATGCGAAAGGGAAAGATGGCCACTCTACGCAGTACGCCTATTTTGATATGAAGGGTTGGTCTGTCATTAGCAGTTCCCAATCAGTAGCACTCACAAATACGTCTAAACTTGGAAAAGATTAAAAAAACATTCCCTATGAAACAATGAGAATCAAGAGTAAAAGAAAAGAGACGAAAATACATCAGGGCCCTAGAGGAGTTATTTCTGCATTCCCTGCACATACGACATCATTCATGAAGAAGGCAATGGTACAAATATAGCATAAATGTCGTCTGCTCTAGCTTGTAATTTAAAATGCAAATGCTAATGAGCGAACTGGTGTTATCAGTGGAGTTAATAACCACATGCCTAGCACAGGGGCTGAATCCAAAACACACAGAGAGAAGAGACAGACACCATGTTCCAATTTAAAAATAAAAACACCCAAATTAACCCTAGAAAAATCACTCGCAGATGTACAAGCTCAGGAAAAGGGGCACACCAGGGCAGGGAATGGAAACTTATCCACCCATCGTAGACTAACTAGTCAATTTAAATATCTTCCTATATAGAGTGAAGGTAAGCATGGGAGTTACTGGGGTTTATTCAGGACTGCTACTGTAAAGCATGAGTATAAAAAGGGAAAATTACAGGGAATCTGGAAAGCTCAAACAGAAAGTTTCTCCAAAGCCCACGAAGAAGCCTATAAGAGCCAACCGTGCAGGGAGCCATATGTTCAGAAATCAAAGGCCACTGAAGAGAGATGCAGATTTCATTTATTTCATCATAGGCAAAGGGTGGTTAAAAAAAACCCCAAACTTTCTGGATTAAGTGGGTAATTTAAATAAATGGGAAAAAGCTCTAATGATGAAAAAAACACAACTAAGAATGCACTTGTGTCTCAGACGCCTTCCAAATATGAAAGGAACTTTTGTGAATTGTTCTTGCTCCTACAGGGTCTGTGCTTGGCAGCCCAACATCAGAATCTGGTAGTGATCCCATGGCACTGAGACTGAGAGCAGCTCCTTGGGCTTCCTCAGAGCCCCTCATGCATGGGGTGTGAGGTAGTGCATTATGTGGCCAGTGGTCCCATCCAGTTGAGTGAAAACCTGTGGTGCCCTCTTAGGGGCAACAGGAGGATGTGCTTGGACTGGTTGCCCACACTGGGCACCTAGTGTGTTCTAATTCCCACGTTAGTACCATTCATTCAAATTTTATACAAAGGGCCAGGCACAGACTCTGGTGGATCCAGCCCATCAGGTTGGGGAAGCCTCAGAAAAACTTTCTGAAAGGGATCCAAGGGGAACAATGACCTGGAGCTTGGAGGCAAAGAAAGTTTTTCAATGATGAGGAACTATTTTTTTTTTTAAACCTGGTCATATCTCTGTTTGAAAGGGGGATGTGAGAGGTGGTTCCCATAGCAACCAGGATTAAGTCTTACAGGCAGTATGCACTGCTCACCCTGGGGCTGCCCATTACCAGACTGCAAAGCACTCCCCTCTAATTTCAAATAACCACGCCATTTATACTCCCTTTCCTGCATCCAGGTCCTGCCATTTTCTACTATTAGGCTGGCCAAACAGACACCCCTACAGGGCAGGGGTAGTGGTGAGCAGCCCAACCCTAGATGATGTTGCTTGCCAACACTACTACTAAACGGCTACTGGGAAATACCAATAGGCTGCCAAGATGGCATTGAAAAATCCACACCAAAACATATTTTTCTGGGAAAGCCATAAGAATGGAATTAGAACTGAGGTATTTGGGTACAACCAGAGACAGGTGCTAGAATTGGAAACACTACAGCAGAGAACAGCCATCAAATTTCTGTAAGCTTCTCATTCCTTCCCCACATGCCCACCAGGTGGAACGCAGCCTAGACAACCTTTAACAGACTCAAGAAGAACCTTAAAGTAGGAGGGGAGCAGAGGGGTGGAAAAGGAACCCTTGGTGAAAAGCTCACAGGTCTGACCATTTTGTATCACTCTTACTGGCTCCCTTACCTCATCTATATTAAAACTTAAAAGCAGCAGGAGTAAAAAGCAATAGTAGAAGGCAGAAGTCCGAAGATGTAGGAGGTAAGGATTCTTTTCACTTACCTCTGACCTATCCATCCGGAGGCAATCAATGGCTCTATCATGTAACAGCTGAGGATAAACCAACCTTTCTTTTCTTGACACAGAAAGCCCAACTGGGATGGTGAGGGCTGAACATCCCAATGAGGAGGCTGCACCATCCTCAGACTGACTCCATAAGAGGGAGTGTCACCATTAGGACTATCTTTCCCTCCATTACAGGAGTATCTAGACAGGCTGGCACACAACTGCCATATGTGCCTTGCTGTCTCCCTTACCTCTAGGTCCCAGCATCACACCAAGATAAGCAGGCCAGTCTGACAGAAACAATTAACTAGGAAGCAGGAGAGCAAGAATTCATCTTTAAGTGTTCTAGCTCCAAGGTCTATGACTGACATTAAACCACGCCGAACAAATCTTATTTTTATTGATGTCTATATTTATTACTCTGTCTCAAGCAAAAAAAATACTTGAAATGGCTTCTGAACAAATTGAATCTCTGCCTCTTCTACTCTGAAACACTCCATTATATCCTGGAAGTCTCCTTTGATTCCCACTACTAGTCCTCAGGACCGGCATTTTTAGGTCTCTTACCATTCTGGTCACCCTCCTGTGATCCTTCTGCAGTTTGCTGATATTCTTCCTAAAAGGGTGGTCCTCAGATACTCCAGGCCTGCACTGACCTGGGCTGAACCAGCATGTGGCTGCAACTCTCCCCAGATCCTGTACTTCTGGGTTATGGGCCAGGATTGCCTTAGCCTTTCTGACAGTATCACAATATTTACTGTTATTGTTTTATAAAAATGTGAGTTGTTTTCATTTGTTTGGTATTTAAGGCATGTTTCTCCTACTTTTATTCTTCTTAAAAATGTATTTTCTTCTTCATGTCTATACATTCTTTACTTCAGTAGACCCAACTTACTTTGCTTGAAGGCTGGAGCTTACGCATTTCTTTTTTTTTTTTTTTTGAGGAAGATCGGCCCTGAGCTAACATCTCCCAATCTTCCTCTTTTTGCTGAGGAAGACTGGCCCTGGGCTAACATCCGTGCCTGTCTTCCTCCACTTTATATGGGACGCCGCTGCAGCATGGCCTGACAAGCAATGCGTCGGTGCGCGCCCGGGATCCAAACCAGCGAACCCCGGGCCGCCACAGCAGAACACGCACACTTAACCGCTTGCGCCACCGGGTCGGCCCCTTATGCATTTCTATATTCTATATATATCTATATTCTATGTATCTTATGCATTTCTATATTCCTAGCACAGTGCCCAGTGGAAATAAATTATTAAATAGCCATGTGATCGAATGACCCACAAGCATGATGAGGCTCATTCTGGAGATGATTCACAATCTAAAGATGGGAGATAATCAAGCTATAATCGTAGGCTTGCACTTTCATCCACATGACCATTGGGTGATGGTAAGGGATGCCTGCAGAGACTGGGAGCTGAGGGCAGAGCACTGAATGCTTAATGGAAAAAGAGCTGAGAAGGGGATTTTCACGCCCATACAAAAGCAGAGAAAAAAATGATTGATGAGTACATCTATTTCTTGTAGGCAACTCTTCCTGAGAACTAATGATATAGGCTAAGTTGTTTCGCCTAGACGAATCACATCCAGCCTGCCAAAAGAAAATGTTCCAAATCTTCTTTGATGCTCAAATGTCATCTCCCTTGGGAAGTCTTTTCCATTCCCCAATTAATTGTTCTTTCTTCTGCATTCTCATGCTATGTTGCCTATACTTTTCATAAGTGCTTTTTGTTTTTCCTTGTTCAAGGTTTTCATATGGCTGTCTATACTACCAGACTAAAAGCTGTTCAGGCAGGAAGAAATGATCTTATTAATATATGTATCACCCACAATCTATCTATCAACGACTGCCTTTCTTATACTGGGCTTGCGAAAATCTTGGCCTCATTAAAAAAGGCTCCCCAAACCTGTTTATTGTGCTAATGCTTTCCTACAAGGGACCCTCCAGGATCTCCTGACATCAGCACAATATGTATAATTCATATAATGATACCTTATAAAAGTGAAGAACTAGAGCAGCCCCAGCAACATCTCATGTCAAGCTGCCCATTTCCAGTAACGGGACCCACCTGAAAGCAAGTAGGGTGGAGACACAATCCAAGTGGGAAGTCCCAAGAGAAAGAACACCCCACTTTACAAATATCCATTAAGTTGCAATTCAATTAAAGCATCTGAAAGGAATTCATAAGTACCAGCAGACCCTGTAATTGCTTAATTAAGGATAGAAGCCCAGCAAACACAACCACAATAATAGCCTGATTCATTAGCACCTCTGTGATAGCAGAATGGGATTTCTCACTTAAACATACATTGGCTTTAATTGTGTAATTTGGTTAGGCACTGGTAACCAATGGGGATCCACCATTCCTGGGGCCAGGAGATGAGGAGGATATTCCTGTTCACATTCCCTCTCCTCTCTCATTAGAAGTTTTTGGTCTATTGAAACAGACAGTTGATATTCCTATTAGCATTGGCTGGAGAAGAGACGTTAAAGAGAAAGAAGGAAATGAGGTACTTTATTCAAAGGCATTCAAGGTGGAAGGACACACAGCCAAAGCTTTAGTTCACCATGCACAAACCCACCACCAATATTTATCAAATCCTGGACACCTAGACCCTTTTCTCATTGCCTCCCTTGTCATAATGCAGCTCCAGAGAGGAGCTGTAATCAAAAAGAGAGGAAAAAAAATTGAAAAATATCAAAGGGCAGGCAAAAGGGAAGCCTCATTTTCTAGTCTTGTTTCATATGACTAAGTAACTGGTTAATTATAAGTCACCTGCTGTGATCCACATGGGAACCTCCCGCCAGGTGGCTGCTGCCTTCTAGGTGGTGTGTACTGTGAGTTCCATCCAAGATAACTGACACCCACTCCCCACACCCCATATGCCTCAGTCCATAATTCCTCATACATACATGTCCCACTTTTAAGAACATGGAAATGGGGTGGGCTCACCCAATGAGTTAGAAGACTCCAAACACCTGATATAAGACTACCTAGATTACTTTGCACTGAAACCTCAAATTATTCTTCTCTTCCAATGCAGGCATGTGGTTTCCAGACACTAACTTGATACTTGCTATGCTTAGTCAACAGAACGACTTCCCGAACTGTGCCTTCAGCACGACCCAGAAACCCCAGAGCTAAGAAAGGAAAGCAAAATAAGGAAACGTAATATGAAGGTCATAGCAATAAGACACACACTCCATGCCCACTGGCGCTATTAAATAAAGATGTGAATCAAGGGCCAAGCGATTTGCAAATATGTGCCTCAGTACCTCTTTAGACAAGAAACTAAGTAAAATGTGACACATATGACAAGTGAAAATAAACTAAAAGATTGCGGTTAAACTGCTTTTGTTCTAATGGAAGGAAATCTATGGGGCTCACTAAATGCCAGATGAGGAAAAAGAATGCTTTTAAACAAATATGGGCTGCCCAGTGATCCTGGCTTCCCTGCTAACACAGGACAAGAACCGACTGTGATTGCCTCCAAGCCTGAAATAAGTAGGCATAAGAGGAGGCCACAGCAGCGGAGGGACCTTGAAAAGTCTTGGTTCTGATGGTGTAAGGTCACCTGCTCACTGATCAAACCTAAGCCAGGTGCTCAAAGGACTAAAGGGCAAGAGCTTTCAGGAGGCACTGACCTGTTAGCTACAGCTGACTTTGCCCAGCCCCACCTGCTATCCCATCTGACCAAGCAATCATTCCACATACAGGGGTGCAGGAACCGTGACAGAGAGGCCAGCTGGCTTGGGCCAAATGCCACTCCCTATCAAGCTGTGGGGCCGTCTGCCCAAAAAAGGCCACATAAAAATGGAAAATGTCCACCCCACCTTGAAGTCCAGAGGGCTCTCCAAAAGGCTGGGATTAATGAAAGTAGCATATATGGGACTGCTGAACAATTCTCTTGGCTTTTCCCTTGAGAATCACAACCCAAACTCCCACCTGGCTGCCTGGAGACACCACTTCTAGCAGAATGCCTTTGTTACATGGTGTAGAGCACATCCCACAGATAGCTGCAAAGCTGTGCCATGAGGATCACTGTCCAGGTGAACAACTCCACAACGTGAATATTGTGTCTGTGTCTATCCTCATGTTCAGCTTTGGAGTTGGGTCTCAGAGGACCAAGAGGTCCATCCCTCTCTAAGGATACTCCCTTCACCCATGTTCTCCACCCATCTCATTCATTCCATCTCCTCTAAGTCACTGCTCTATTAATCATTTACTTGCATCCTTTCTTAGTTCCTACTCTTCAGAATTCAGACCAGTGCTTCTCATGTTCCCTATGATATTTTCTCACTTCATCTTTTTTATATGCTCATCTGCCAAGATTTTGTTGAGTTCTACATTCCGTAATTGGTATTATGAAAACAACAGGTATACTGAAAAGCTTTTCCAATTATTCTTGAATAAGAATTACAGTTATGGGGCCGGCCCCATGGCATAGTGGTTAAGCGCATGCGCTCCGCTGCTGGCGGCCCAGGTTCGGATCCTGGGCGCACACCAATGCACCGCTTGTCAAGCCATACTGTGGCAGCGTCCCATATAAAGTGGAGGAAGATGGGCACAGATGTTAGCCCAGGGCCAGTCTTCCTCAGCAAAAAGAGGAGGATTGGCATGGATGTTAGCTCAGGGCTATCTTCCTCTCGGGAAAAAAAAACAAACAAAAAACCAAGAATTACAGTTATAAAGGTACTTAAGATGCCGATATCCTTAGAATGTTACCTTGACCCTTTAGCTTTCACTTTTCCGCACTTCTTTTGCATTCTTTGTTAGATTTTTGTGAAGAGCAGTCTACTTTTAATTCTGTTCCTTATTTCCCACATTTACTCCCCAATTGCCTATAATCTGCCTTTAGCTGAATCAACTCTGATGAAATTGCACCGACAAAGGTTATCCATGACTTACTAATTGACAAATGGTATAAAATCACTGTTTTTACCTACTTGATCTTCTAGGTAAAATCGGACACTGCTGACTCCCTGGAATTCTTTCCTCCCTTGGTTTCCAGAAGACTAGTCTCTCAGGATTCTCCACCTAATCCTGTGACCAACAAGTATCTGTTCCTAAAACCTAGTCTTACTTTTGTGTTGCCCTTGCTAGTGGACATCACAATCTGCCCAATCACTCAAGCTTTAGATGCATTACTTCTCTCCTACACTCAACAGCATCCCCCATCCCCAACCAAAAGAATCTAGTCATTCCTTGAATTATCAAGTCTTCCTCCTAAATACTTTTCCAATCTCTCGTCTTCTCCACTGCTGGATTTCAGGCCTCTATCCCTCTTGCTTTTTAACTGTTCTCACAGCCTCCAGCCTCATTTACTCCTATGTATCCACCAAAATAAACTTTCTTAACACAAGTGTGAACATGTTGCTCTCTTGCTTAATACCTTGTGACTGAGGGTTCACAGTATGTTCCACAGGAGAAAGCCTAGCTTCTGCGTTTCCAACCTCATCCCACTCTACCTCCCCTCACTCTTTATACTCCACCAGTACCAAAGGGTTCATGGTTCCCTGCACACATCAGGATACATCATACATACCTCTATATCTTTATACATGCTGTTACCTTTAAACATCCAGAATGTTTTTCTCCTTCTCCTCCTCCCCTTCCATCCCCCAACACTGAAACTCCTATTTGTCCTTCAAAACACAGCACAGATATCAGCTCCTCAGGAGACAATCTCTGATCGCCACCTAAATAACCAACCATTTCTTCCTCTGTGCTACTTCTGGGCCTTGTAGATAATTCTATTATCTCTCCTAGTGCCCAAGATTGCAGTTTGTTTACATGTCTGTCTTCCCTCCAGAGCTTCCTGAGACCTAGGACTGTGCTGTACTAGGATGCAGAGTTCCTTGCTTCAAAGTCAAAGGGAAAAGCCAGTAGCCTTCCCTTTGAAGGTTTGAACAGCTCCTTTTCTGGAGTTATTTCCATTAATAGATAGGTCAAAGTCTCCAAAGTAGAATCCTAGCTATGTGCACAAACACTGTGCATCTACGCCAGTCCATACAAGAGTTAAGGAAAGCTCTAGTCTTGAATTCACTATGTCTTTGTGAGGGAAAGGGGAAGGAAACATTTACTAATGATCCGCTTTATGGCAGGGTGGTTCTGAACCCTTTACACATCTCATTAAACCCTCACAAAAATCCTGAGAGGCAAGAAATTCTCTCCAGTTAACTGATGTGTAAACTAAGACTCGCAATAAAAAGCTTCCCTAAAGTTACCTGCTTGTACAGAGTAGGGCCATGATTCAAACCGAGGTCTGCTTTCTCTTAAGACTTTTCAATATCCTGTATCCTTGCCAGGTTTCTAAAGAAACCAGAAGATGTGTAATATAACTGTATATAGTATGGCAGGAGAAAAATGTAAAAGCTTTTATTTGTATCATGTATTGGCTTCTGTAATCTATCTTTCAGAATCTAAGTTAACTCAGGCAATGCCTTTTGAATTGCTAAGCTTAGAATAATGTCACGTACACAGAGGAACTGGCTAATGCGGAGTCCGGTGATCAGACTGCTTATGTTTAAGCAAGATACAACCAGAAGGGTTCTATAGGAAAACTCCAGCCAAGATGGGGCTAAAGCTCTAAGCCAGCTCTAAGCCAGGTAATTTTGACTTGAGAAGCCACAACTTCAATGTTTTCTTTCCCCTACAGATCTGTGGCCAAGTTTCCCAGAAAGAATAATACTGTTTCTCTTTCACACCTCTGGGATAAAGCTCTACACTGCCAAAAGGAAGCTTCTGTTTCGCAGGTATAGAGCAAAGGATGAGTTGAACATATACCTTAAACTCTGTAACCAGAATTCACTGCTAAGAAACTTCTCCGCTACGGAAATCTTCAGAGAAGGGCACAAATGGTTCCATGAAAGGACTCTGTCACCCACTGCTACGCTACCCCGCAGTTTACTATAAGTCACGTTCGCAGAAACAAAAGCACCGCCCTCTGGTAAGGTGTGGGTTTATTGCGGCCTTTCTTTTCTATAGCTGCCCCCGAGCTTCCTGTCATACTTCAATTAGTCCCTTCAGAGAGCTTGCAGAGATGTGTAATGATCATTAACTTCTTAAGAATGTGGGAGAGGGCTGGCCCCGTGGCTTAGCGGTTAAGTGCGCGCGTTCCACTGCTGGCGGCCCGGGTTCGGATCCCGGGTGCGCACCGACGCACCGCTTCTCCGGCCATGCTGAGGCTGCGTCCCACATACAGCAACTAGAAGGATGTGCAGCTATGACATACAACTATCTACTGGGGCTTTGGGGGGAAAAAATAAATAAATAAAATCTTTAAAAAAAAAAGAAGGTGGGAGAGAGCCTCACTGAGAAGACGGCCAAGCAGCAGTGGCAGTGAGCTTTATGGTCATGTATTCAGTGAGGGATTTATCGCACGTAACAACCCACTTAGTTGGGGCCTGAGGGAGACCCTTATCCAGAGAAGAAACTATCGGTGCCTTCTAGGTCAGGGAGGCTGAGGAAACCTGGCAGGGGACAGCACGGATGGCTCCCGTTTCTCTTCCCCCATGGCAAATTCTATTCAAGAATTCAACAGAAGAAGTGCCGAGGCAACAGGAGAAAAGGCAATGTGCATTGGGAGAACACAATGGAATACGTCTTTTGTGAGTGAGTGAATGTTTGTGTGAACAGGGATGGGGTGTGGGGTGTTGAAGTAAAATGACACTTGCTCTCAAAGACCATGGTCTCTGTGAAGTACTGACTGGAAATAAATAAACATTATTTGCCAGCAGGGAAGAAATGAAGCAGCTTGTTCCTTGACTGCATAAATGTAAACTGCTCAAAGAACACGGTTCATACGTAGTCTTGCTGGTTTGTGAAATGTTAAGTTACCAGAAAAGACAGGATACAGGGCCGGCCCCGTGGGGTAGTGGTTAAGTTCGGTGCATTCCCCTTCGGCGACCCGGGTTCACAGGTTTGGATCCCGGGTGCGGACCTATACCACTCATCAGCCACGCTGTGGCAGCAACCTACATATAAAGTAGAAGAAGACCAGCACAGATGTTAGCTCAGGGTGAATCTTCCTCAGGCAGAAAAAAACAAAAATGAGGAAGACAGGCAACAGATGTTGGTTCAGGGCTAATCTTTCTTAGGAACAAAAAAAAAAAAAAAAAAAGAAAAGATAAGGTAAGAAAGATGTATCTTCTGTCAGGGAAGAAAGGAGGAAGGCTTGCCCTAGCATGCAACCTTAGTGCAACAGAGAAATACTACAGATGCATGAGCTGGTGAAGGTAA